ACATCTTTGGAAGAATTCTTACAGATTCCCTCAGTGTTCCTGTATGAAGGAGATGTCTAAATCTGATTTGCTGATCCTGATCTTCTTCGCTGTGCTGAGATTGTGCTTCATGTCTGAGTGCAGGAGGCAAATCTCCTGCTTTACTCGAGCACCTTGGCTTTACCATTCACACAGTGTTATCAGGAACTTTATCAAATGATTGCATACAGAACATTGAGCTTAGAATCGGTTTCTGCCCCTTCGGAATTGCAGCCACACAATCCAGAATTAACCTGGAGTCTGGAGAAAAGTTCACATCCTCCATCGTATTAGTGTGTTCATGTCTCTGCCCTGTAATCTTCTTTGGGCACGTTCTCTCTGTTTAGCATGGTCCTCTTTAATCTCCCTTGCACCATCTTTAATTCATTTCCCTCTCTTTTATGTTCTATCCGTTAGCTTTCATCATCTCCTTCCTAGCTTTCACCCATGTTTTGGCTCTCCCATTATTTCCTACTCTTTCTCCACTTAATCCCCAGTTATCATGTACTTTCCTTCTCACTGTTTCACTCACTTTCTTTTTCCCTTCCACTCTTTCCTTCTCTTGCCCCTCATTCGCTCTTCCTCTCTATCCCTTATCCCTTTTGAACCTTTGTAGTTCTATGCCCTTCTTCCTCAACACCTATTTTTTTTCTCCTTCCCTCCTGGTCTTCAACCACTTTCTCTTTAACCTCCTCCCTTCTTTCGTTCATCTACTGCACTCCATTTCTCCATACCACCCCTCCTGTACTCTCTTTCTCCCGCTTCCCCCCCCACCCCACAGCCTTCTGCACCCTCATATGTATTTGTATACGGTTTATACCATGTCTTTAATGAGTGTAATATAGTCAGCTTTTTAATTTATCCTCAGTTTCACACAAAACTTCTTTTTATGCTTGACTGTCTGATTGGAGTTAATGAAGCGTGTCAAGTAATAGTAGAATTTTGCTTAATGCAATTCCTTCTTTCAATCCATCTCCAACTTAACTTTGGAAACTTTAAGTCACATCTGACACTTTTTCAGGCAGCTTATTAATGATTAAAGCAAAAGTCAGTGCAGAAGCTACAATAAGGATTGCAACCCATGGAATCTTAGCTCTTGGAAAATAGCAGAATGTTGAAGAGTGAAATCAGCCCAGAGTTTGCTCTGGTGATGAAAGTAAATCAAAACCTCAATATAATTAATCGCCTCAGTTTGAAGAATCAGCTTTAGTGGAAACTATGACCAATGCTTTCTTGAAAACAAAGACATCAGATGGCAGGGTCTGCAGATGTAGAAGTTTCCAGAGGAAACACTCTTATCCAGTCCAAAACTAAGCAAGCCACAAGATCTGTGTCTTGTCTCAGCTACGTCTCAGGTAATTTGTATAGGGATTTGGTGTTAAAAATACAGGGGGATGTGGATAAAAAACTTCAGTTAAGAAGAAAAGTTGTGAATGAATCTACGAAGGAACCCTATATGACAATAAAAAGATAGGAATTATTGTTGCAAATCTCCTTGAAATGCAGAATTCATCAGTTACTTTGACCCCTGGAACACTACCTCTGTCCCACCTTAGCCTCTGATTTGATTTGATTTGATTTATTATTGTCACATGTACTGAGATACAGTGAAAAGTGTTGTTTGTGTGCTATTCAGGCAGATCATACCATATAAAGTGCATCAGGGTAGCAGAATAGAGTGCAGAATACAGTGTTACAGCCACAGAGAAGGTGCAGAGAGTGAGATCAACATGAACATTTGAGAGGTCCGTTTAAAAGTCTGATCACAGCAGGGAAGAAGCTATTCTTGAATCTGCAACAGGAACTGTTATTCCTGTTTCTCTTAACCCCAGATGTGAATCACAGAATTGTTACAGCACACTAGGAGGTAATTTGGCCCATCATATAGGTGCACCAGCTTTCCCAATAAGCAATTCACTTAGTGCCTTCTTCCCCACAATTGGTCCTTTTCAAATCCCTTTTAAATGCTTCAATTGAACCTGCCTCCGACACACAGTCAGGCAGTGCTTTCTAGACTTTAAACACGCTTTCTGTGGGGTGGGAAACAATGGTTCTTTCTGATATTGCTTTTGACTGTTCCTGTGTATTTATGCACCGTTCGCCCTCCATAAATTTGAGCTCATCTCTGAAAACACTACCTCCTAAATTGCACTCAACCCCAATCAGCCATATCCTATCTGATCAACAATGGCTTTCAGTCCAACAATAGCATGAATTTAAAACTCTCATCCTGCTTTTCAAGTATGTCTGTGGCCTCCCCCCTCTCTAGTCTATCTCTTTTTTTCCTTTATTCATTCATGGGATGAGGGTGTTGCTGGCTAAGCAGCATGTATTGCCCATCCCTAATCGCCCAGAGGCCAGTTAAGAGTCAACCACATTGTTGTGGGTCTGAAGTCACATGTAGGTCAGACCAGGTAAGGATGGCAGTTTCCTTCCCCTAAAAGATATTAGTGAGCCAGATGGGTTTTTCCAACAATCGGCAATGGATTCGCGGTTATCATTAGATTCTTAATTCCAGATATTTACTGAACTCAAATTACTCCATCTGCTGTGGCAGGTTCGAACCCGGGTCCCCAGAACTTTATCTGGGTCTCTGGAATAAAAGTCCAGCGATAACACCACTAGGCCATTGCCTCCCCCTTGTTCTGCATCCTGATGACTCAACAGTTCTGGGCCCTTGACTTTATATGTTCTACCTTTGATTACCAAGCTTTCTACTACGTAACTCCCAGACTCTGAAATCCTAACACTAAATCTGTTCATCTCTCTCCTCCTTTAAGACAATCCTTATAACCTACCATCTTGACCAGGATTTGGCTCATCTTTCCTAATATCTCCTCCAATGACTTAGTGTCAACTTATTTATCTGATAAAGCTCCCATGGACAGCCTGGGCACAGTTTTCCACTTTTAAAATGATCCTTCTTCCTAGGTTCTCAGCCTGAAGACAAGGTCCTTGATGATTATTTGCTGAACTGTAGCAAAGTGCCATATTGTTTTTTTATTATTGAGTGAGATATGAAGGTAGACTCTGGAATAGGGATCAAACCCTATGCTGTTGACTTTAATCTGATCACAGTGATCTAGCTGTCTAGCCAACTGAGCTACCAGACCTCCTCTTCACCAAAGCACTAAAAATGCTGTGATTGTTTTTTTTTATTTTTGATGAAAGGTGCTTTATAAGCATTGTTGTTGCTTCCAGTTTGTGCCCTTCAATACTGACTCCTGCGCTTTCTGAGATCACTATTTGAGCACCTTATTAACAGTAGCATATGAATCCACTGAATGAGAATCTCCAGTTTCAGGAGATTTTTGCCAGAATTTTGGTTTTCTTGTGTATTTTTTTTGCAATTCCTTCTTTTTCTCCTCTTCCTGAAACTGCTGATCCCATGGCTGGGACACAGTCCACCAACACAGCTCCCAAGACCCAGTAGCTTCTAGGAATGGGCTATTTGGTGATATCTGACTGGGTAGCTAATGCTGGCTACAGCCTCTGGGCACTGCGCTGTCTTCCAGCAGATATGACTCCAGCCTTCAGCAATGTGGTTGACTCTTGACTGCCCATTACAGATAGGCAATAAATGCTGGCCTATCCAGGGATACCCACATCCTATGAGCAAACAAAGAAGAAAGTTGAGAGGAAGAATCGCCACCCATCATAAATCAGATGACAGCCCCTTCAGACTGACATTCTCCACACATCACATCTATGATGAGCATCTTCTAGCTGTCAGGTTTCACATGACCATACAGGATGATGAAAAGTGACTAACCCACTATTGCAATGCTGTCACTAACTCATTCATTTCAAAGGAGTTTTGTAGAGTACCAGTAATTAACCAGTTCACCATCAAGTGAAGCTAATTCTATGATCAGACCTGGCAGGAGAGGTCAGTATTCAGTGAGAGAATATGACTTACCAAGTAGCACATGGTTTCCTGCCGTGTGCACCTGGCAAATTGCAGAACTCTCCCATAAACCCCAGAGGAAGATCTATCAGAGTGGGACACATCTCTGATGCTAGCCTTCAAGAGTTGACTCTTTTACACTCGTTCTTGCAATGTGGCTGGAATTGGCACAGTCACGTCTATGGTCCACTTCTTCTTACCATCAGGAGATTCTGGTGGGCTTCTTTTTTGAAGCTTGTTCATTTCATTCGCTCTCAGGTTGTGGCTGACTTTGACCAGGTTGGCATTTACCACCCATCCCTGGTTCCCTGAGGTGGGAGGGGGAGGGGGATGGGGATGCTTCTTCTCAGTCTGCACTCAGTTTGAGTGATTTGCTAGACCACTGCACAGAGCAGTTAATAATTAACGGCATTGCTGTCGGATTGGATCAACATTAGTCTAGACTGGGGAAGGGTGGCAGGCTACCTTTCCGAAATGACAGTAGTGACTCAGTTGTGTCTTAGTGACAACTTGACAGCTCTGAGGCTATTTGTAAGCGAGGTCATAGTTTTAGGATAAGGGGTGGCAGATTTAAAACGGAGATGAGGAATTACTTCCCTCAAAGGGGTCACAAATCTGCGGAATTCGCTATCCCAGAGTGCGCGTTGGACCCCAGGACACCGAATAAACATAAGGAGGATATAGGCATTTTCAATTAGTAATGGGGAAAAGGTTTATGCAGAGTGGGCAGGAAAGTGGAGCTGAGGTCGAAATGAGATCAACCATGGTTGTGTTAAATGGCAGAGAATGGCACAGTGATGTTAGATTGAAAATTTCAAAATTCTGGAACAGTAATGATGAGGAAGTGGTGATACATTCTGTCAAGATAATGCATGTAGCTGGAGAACAACATGGAATTTCTGTGATATCACATCATTTGTCATTCTTATTAAATGAGATCCTGAGGCTGGCAGCTGTAGTTCCAAAGTCATGAACATAGTCCTATTAAATATTTGTCTAAGAAAAATCTGTTGCCTGTGAGAAGGAGTATCCTTTAGCTCAAGCTTTGATCTAACCCTGTTCTGTCTCCTGCCAGGTTTATCAATGCTAGACGGCGAATCCTCCAGCCAATGCTCGATGCCAGTAATCCCGACCCTGCTCCTAAAGCCAAGAAAATCAAATCCCAGCACCGGCCAACTCAACGTTTCTGGCCAGACTCTATCGCAGCAGGAGTACTACAGCAGCAAGGAGGGAATCCCAGCAACCCAGACAGTAAGTGTGCATTAACCACGCACATCAGAGTCATGCACACAGTGAGCCTCAGTAACTCAGTGCCTGCAGCCTCTGAATCAACACCAGTGTGTTTCTCCACTCTTTCTCTTCTCTCCCTGTTTCTCTCTGACATCAGTCTCTCATCTTCATTATATCTTCTCCACTTGTCTTTGTCTCCCCACTTTGCAGCATTTATATCTCATATCTTTCCATTTCCCCCATACACACTGTCTTTCCATTTCCTCCACATTTCTCTCTTTCTGTCTCTCCCACTTTATCTCTCTTTCTTTCTGTCTCCCCTACTTTCTCTATCTTCTGTCTTTCCCCATCTCTTTCTCCCTTCCTATCTATCTCCCCCAGTCTCTCTCTTTCCATCTTCCCTACCATTCCACTAACTTCCTCTGCATTTCTTCCTGGTTCCCCTACATCTGTCTCTCTCGTATTAATCCAAGTGATAATGAGCCCCTTTCGTTTCAGGCACTATGACTGCAGCCATGGACAGTCTCCAGACGCTCTCCTCTGATACTGCCACCCTCGCCATGCAGCAGGCCATGATGGCTGGCCATGCAGGCGACGACTCATTGGACGGAACCGACGAGGAAGAAATTGAAGAGGAAGACGAGGACGAGGATGATGACAACGGGGAACTGCAGACGACCAATGTTAATGACCTGGGCCTGGACAATAGTGACTCTCTTGACTAACTGCTCTGCTTACATGCAGAGGAGACAGAGGAAAAAAAAATGACCAGTGTGCGGACTTTTTTTTTAAAAAGAAATGAAAGACTCTTCTCTATGAACAAGTCGCATCAAGGTGACAGTCATAAGAATGAAGGCCCCCGTGTCTAGAATCTATTTTGTGATTTATTCTGTATTAATGAATGTTATTGTGAATGTATCCTTCATTTTTTTTTCAACATTTGTTTTACATTTGTATTTTTTACTTGGCTGGTGTGGTTGTATCCACAGCCCTCAACGCTTCTGGCTTCACATTTGGACTGAGGCTTTTCCTAACATTAGGGAGAGAGGGGCGAAAAGGTGAGATTGTGTCCATCATGCTCTCACTCTGGCTTTCCAACCAAAATAAATATTGATTGAAAAAGGGCAGAAGCCGGTTGTTTGACGGTCACTCCTTTCCCTGCTTGCCTCCCAGGTGGCTCCCAGGACCTGATGGACCTCGATTTGAATTGTAGAGTAGGTTAGCAGCAAAGGGTTGACAACGCTGATTGAGTTCATTCATAGCTCTTCAGTTACATGGCCTCCCCACCTCCGCTTCCTGCTGCTCTTCCCAGCCAAGCCCTTTTTGATACATTTTAGTTATAAAAAGAACATTCTAAAAAAGCACAATCTTTGAATGACCCCTTGATTCTTAGTCTGTTTGGTGTTTGCTACTCTGACCCACGATTTGATGTCTGGAGTCTCTAGCGTAATCTGGTGTGGGTGGGATTGAGGTGTTGGTAACCTTATACAGCAACCTCAGGTTACAGACAGTTTCGAAAAGTATCAATGAAGCTTTTACTATCGCCTTGACGTTAATTGATGGCGCCAGATCTTGGTATTTCCTGGAACTGCCACTTGCCTGGTTTCTAAACGGGCACTCCAGTTTTTACTTAGTTGTGCAGAAATTTTTCAAATATACTGTTTTCTAGAGACGAAATTTAAGCTCTTTCTTTTCCATTAGATGTTTTCCACATTTGACAGGAGAATGGCCTATCTTGCTGTGTTCTGAAGAAATCACTTGAACTGTGACCGTGATAATATGCTTAATCACTTCCTGCTCCCATGTTGTACAAATTCTAAGGTGTTGCACCTGTATATCCTGCCATTTCCTTGCTTCTAGTTTCATTCAGGAGTAAAAGGGATTAAAAAGGCCTTTGTCAAACCGTTTCCCAGCTGGACAATTAATACGGTCTACTATGTATCTGAATTATAAGGTATCACCCACAGGCCAATATTTAACACAAGTGAGGTAAGGTAGAGTGGGCAGCACTCAAGTGTTTCATGATTTACCCTCAAAGGATGACAAAATAGGAGGAGCATTTTCTGTCCATCATGTTTTCCCCTGCTACTCACATACATTGTGGCTGACTGATCTGTACCTCAATTCCAAATACCAGCCCTTGTTCCATTGTCACCTGAAGGGATATCAAAAAGGACTTATAATTTGAGATACCTGGATATGGAAACGTTCAACTTGCTGGTGTGAGTTTGCCCTCCAGCAGGGTATTTTGCCTGATACAACAATGCTTACATTATCTTCCATAACATAAGGAACTGAGTGTGGATTAATACTACAATAATTAACTGCATTTACAATAATTAATTTATGACATTAATTACAACCTACTTTAATGTACAAAGGTCACATTCCTCAGACACAAAAGTGTCTGGGCTATTAGCTTACAACAGAGAAGCATAGTTCTAATAGAGCATCATGCTTCAAGTGATCTCAAGTCAGATGGAGTGTGAGATCTTCATACCCTCAGGTCACATGCTATCATTCAGTAATGGTTTCATGAGCATGAGTCTTCATGGTGTACTGACAAACTGACTGTGAGACATAATGTACCATCCCCCATTTTCCAGAGATTAAAGCATATCCCAAACAGATATGCATGGTTGGACAGAGGCACGTGTTGTCGATTCAAGGAAGTAAAACTGAATTTACAAGACCAACATTTCAGACATCAGTAATGAGTTGGAGGTTTGACAGTGCATCCTGATCTAGTGATTGTATACCCATCTAGAAGGGTTTGCATTGCTCTCTGTTGAATGTGCTTAACAATGTGATCGGCAGCCTGCTAATTGCTGTCACTCAACATCACTGCACAATCAAAATATTTGGAGTATTCGTCCTCACTCTGTTTGTACATACTTGGTGTGTCATATGTTGCTCTGAGCTGGTTTCTGCTCCTTTGCAATTTTTTAACCATGATCAGTAATGACTTTGTATGTTCTGGTATGACCTGGATTGGTTACATAGTTTAGAAATCTTTGTATTCAAGTATTTGTATCTCTAAGTCCCACTCTCCACCCAATGCTTAGTTTTGGTAGTTCCCCATTTGCTGGCTCGTCATGTATCTCTTACATTCTCCTCTGTCATTGAAGTAGAATGTCCTGTGTTTTTGAATGATTAGACAAGTGGTTGCTAGGCAATGCTGTGACTTGATTGCTGCCCATAAATTGTGCTGGTATTGGTAATCTGTCCTCCATTGGTGTTGTACAAAAATGTCATCTTACTTTGTTGCTGAACACAATTTGATAATCGACACCATATGCTCTGCTAGGCAGTTTGAATATGGATGGTGGGGTGACAGTGTCAAATGGGTCACTCCCCATTTCATACACATGTCCTGAAACAGTTTGCAGTTAGCTCCATAGGACCATTTGGTCCAGGATTCAAATCAATTGAAAATGGAGCCCATCGTGTCAGTAATGGTTGTGCTCGTTGTGTTGCTAAGATATTGAACAATGGTAAATTTTGTAAAGTAATCCTCCACAAGGCTGTAATCTTCCTTGTGCATTGTCAATAGTTCCATTGCTGCTTTTGTCCAAGAGCTATGTGGAACAACGTGTGGATGTTGAGGCGTCCATTGCTGCTGGGGTTGATCTATTTGGTAGTGCCTCACAAGTATTCACATGTCATTAAATATTCTGCTTCCCCAACGGACAGATTGATGTGCCTCCAATCTTGGGTGTTCAATACCCATGTGTTTAACATGTATATAATATTTTGATGTAATGCTTTTGGTGTTAAGATTTGGCTGCCCTTGAAAATGTCTTGCTGTGATAGATCAAGCTCATGTCTGCATGACCAAAATGAACAAATCTTCACAGCTGCCTCTTTTATAATGTCAGGCCATACCTGATAATGATCTTTTGCAACTCTCGTGGTTTATCTTTGGCCCTTGCTGATTCTGCAACTGTTCAACAATGCTTGTTGCCAAAGTGTAACAGATTAACTTTGAGAACATCTTCAAATTCTTAGTCAAGCCAATAAACATGAAGATCAAGAGAAATATCTTGGTCTTTGTGTGGTTTGGGTATTCCACTAAGTGTGTCAGACATGATCATCCTGGTACTTGTCTTATATCTCACTTCAAGACCATTATTCTTGCAAATCATTGACTGATTTGATTGCATCACATTTATCACAGTTGAATCTTGTGATTTGTGACTATACTGAGATCTGTGCATACTGGCAGTCCTGCTATTGCTAGACTGTTGATATCTACCAGTAGAAGATTTTAGGAAGCCAACCTGAACTTGCCAATTGGTGCAGTGGTGTGATTCTGCCAATGCACAGAATTGGTGATCTGCCATACCATGTAGGACAGTCTCTTGTCAGTAGTAGCATGGAGAGCCACTTCCTGAGGTACATATCTTTCAGGACACATAGTGTGGCCACCTGCTGCCATGTCGATTTTAGCTTTTAGTGTGTGTCATCCTACCTTTTCAGAATGTGAGATATTTATGGTTAAGTAAACTTCTGATCAACATATGTCGTTGTCAAGGTCTGTGAAGTTATCCATATTGAAAGCTTGGTCTTCCGAAATCTGCCTTTCACTTGGTCGATTCTGATCCTCTTTGCGTTTTTGCAAACACTTAACATTTACCTTGCTGTGAGTGTTGTCATGTACCATCAGTTTGGTCCTCTGTGTTTTGTTCTGGCATCTAACTTGACCTTTGGAACCAGATTTCCTGAATATGTCTCTTGATGCCCATGATTTACAGATATCAGGAGAAACTGGATAGGCATTGTCTACTGCTTGATCTGTCAAATAGAGCTGCATATGCCTTTTGAACAGCTGTAATTCAATAAGGGTGCATTAAATGCACAATCCGTAATGAGGTTTCTGCTATTCATGATTTTACCGTAAAAAAAATTGGACTATTCCACCTTAAGCTGTGTATGTTTGACTTTGTGCCCATGTAGGTTAGAAATTGCTGTTTCCTTAAGGACTCAGGCATTACAGCTGCTTTTCTGATAAACTCTTACTTATGTAACAATTGTGAGAAACAGGTTTTCTAGCTTCTAGCTTCTCTGTTGCACTTCACTGGCTTTGTGTACCAGCACAGACTTGTTTATTTTTCTTTCTTTCAGTTGTGGCTATCTTAGAAATGTATTTGATCTTGAAGAATCTTGTATTGTAATCAGAAATTAGCTTTTTTTTTCTACAGATTGCTACAGCTCACAGAAACTAATGCTGTAAGAGTAAGAAATCTCCCTGTGCCCACATTCTCTGATATCCAAAGTTGTTGTCCATTGGTCTTCAATTAGTTTTCCAAATATTTGCCACCAAGATATTGGAGTCTTTTCTAGACTGCAACCAATTTCTCTCCCATTTATGAATTTTGTTTATGGAATGTGGGCATCACTGGCTGTTCTAGCATTTATTGTTCATCCCTACTTGCCCTTGAGAAGATGGTGGTCAGCTGCCTTCCTAAATGACTGCAGTCTGTGTGGTTCAAGCAATGGGTCTCAAATTTTCTCACTTGACATTTGGTTTTAATCACAGTTCCATTGCTACTGTATAATTTTCCATGTTTCGTAGCCATTGTCAGTGTTTTCGCCTCAAATTCTGGATCCTTGCCCCTTAATCCCATAGGAACAGGAAGAGGCCATTCAACTCTTTGACAGAATGACAGAGCGTAAACAGATTATGACTGATCTCTACCTTAATTACCCAGACTTATAAATATTCTTTGATAGTCTTAATTGAACACATTACTCAGCCATTCACAATGCAGAGATTTCCAGGTTTTTATTATCGCCTGTGATATGTTTTCTGGCTTGGCATCCATTTCTGTCAGGTTATGCCACCAGGAATGCCACCAGTGCATTTTAGTCATCATGCCTTGGTTTGCAAGGTATTTGGAAAATAGTTTCTCAATACATCTTCACTGCTTCGTAATCAATTTGCTTCTTCAGCATTTAGTGCATTCATTTTGCAAACCTTTGGAATTGTGTCATCTGACATTTTCCTTTCTGTGGAATGTTGTAGAGTTGATAAATTGCAAGCCTTTATTGAAAGAATAGGCACAAGGTTCAGTTGCTAACATTGTTTACTAGTTTATTTTGGGCCTAAGTGTCCTATGCCCTTATATCCAACGTCTTAATTTGGGAGATAAAACTTAATTTGCACTGAGGATATTGTACAGCCTAAGAGTTTTATTACTCATATAATCTAAGATCTGAAGCAGTGGAAGAGGCAGGGAATATTATGGAGATGGAATGAGGAAGTTATTGTGGTGGACAGGATACAGTTTGGATCTCATGTTGGGTTTGAACAAAATACCAATGTTATGAACAGATTCAACCTGAAACAGCAGCATACAAAAAGTGTTGGTATCTCAACACACACACACACACATTGGATGTAGCAGTTGGGAATTAAATATGTGAAAATGCGAGGTGAAACAATTTGGATCAGAGAGAAATAAACTGGAGTATTTTCAAACTGGAGTAGGATTAGGACCTGTGCAGGAACAAAGGGCTTTGGATACTCAGGTACAAAAAGTAATCAAAACAAGATATTGATATTGGAGTAGGTATAGTGTAGGTTCACCAGACTGATACTGAGGCAGAAAGGTAGGAGGATGGGTATCGAATATTAAGGGGTATCTCATTACATCTTTAAAAATGACTGGGGCTATTTTCCTTGGAGCATCGGAGGCTGAGGGGTGCCCTTATAGAATGTTATAAAATCATGAGGGCCATGGATAGGGTGAATAGCTAAGGTCTTTTCCCCAGTGTAGTGGAGTCCAAATCTAATGAATGATATATCGTTACATCTGAGCATTCCAAAGCATTTATTTTACAATTAATTGCCTTGAAGTAGAATCACCGCCAACGTGTAGGCAGCTACTTTGTGCACAGTCAGGTC